CGCCTCAAATCAGCCAGAAAAACTACTAAACGTGCTCAGTATATCAATTACCACCAGATTCAAGCTCGTCACAATTTACTTGCTGATTACATTAACTATTTAAATTACTACCAGAATTACTTAGATCTTCTTTCTGGTTGTTAATCTCTGCTACTAATTTTGTTTCAATTCTACAGATGTCTCGCCCAAGGCCTCCTTCCAAGGCTTTGGTCCCATCTTCTAATAAACCTCCATTATTCCTCTTTTGGAGCTAGTAACCCAATACCATCCAATTGAAATGATTAACCGTTACCAAGTCCTTGGTAACATTCCTAGACCCAATTACTCTTCTGCTTTGGCTACTGATCCTTTTGCTTCTCCCAGCCAAGCAGTTTCAATTACTCCATTTCCTGCTAATCCAATCAGGTCTGTTCAATCTGATTGTGTTAAATCAACCACTACTAATCTCTTTTTTAAAGAGCCTAGTCATCCCAAGAGTCAAACTGTTTCTGAACTTGCTAAATCATTCTTTGGCCCTGGATGGCATTTTGCTCCCATGCATCCAGAAAAAACAATTACCTTCTATAAAGACATTTTGGTCAATCATCAATCAGTTCTGATTAAACCCATTTATGATCGAACCTATGCTAGTGAGGTTTTGTATCATTCCATTTATATTCACAACATTGTTTCCTTAGCTGAATGGGGTTCTCCTTATCAACTTCGAGATTTACCTGGTTACTCTATTCAATACAGTTACCATGATTACATTGATGCTTGGTTCAAGGTCTTCTTGTACCAAAATGAAACCTTCAGTCACTCCTGGTTCATTCAATTTGATCAAAAGTTCAAATCAGAATTACCTTCTTGGTTTCTGAGATGGTGGACTCATTATGGTGCCATTTCAGATATCTTCCCTGATATTCTGATAGAACAAATCAACTATTTTGCTACTGTTTTCCCATTTACACCTCAGCAAAGGAAATTTCCTTTATTGTTTAGTTTTATATCCAAATATAAAATTCCTTGGATATTCAAATGGCACTATGGAATTTCTGATGATATAATTATCTGGCAACACTCTGTTAAATGGTGGGATAAGTTCACAGTGCATCGCATTGTTGAAATTGTCCAAGCTGAATTCCTATCTGATCAACTTGCTCCAACTCCTGCAATGGTTAAAGCTCAGCAGATCCCAACTACTGCAATCACTCAAGGAAGTCCCAATCTTCCTCCAATCAACCTTGGAAGCCCCTCATCTAGTGGTTCCAAGCCCAAATCATCCAAATCAAAATTTGCATCCTCAACTGATAAATCCAAGTCCAAGGCTAAGTCCAAAGCTCCTGTAGTATCGACTCAGCCCAAGATTCAATCAAAGCCCAAATCAGATAAATCAAAGGCTGCTCCATCTAAGCCCAAGGTTAAACCTGGATCAGCCAGTGATCAGCTCCTGCAGATGGCCCGTCTCCTAATAGATCAGGCCCAAGCCCAATTAAAAGATGAACCGTCTAATGATGAACCTCCTGCACCAGCCAAACAGTCCAGTTCAGTAGAAAGTTCAGACAGTTCACAAGGATCAACTAATCAAGACCCTTATGGACCAGAGTTCCAAGATGCTCAGGATCCATTTGATTTATAATCAACATTGGATTCTATATAGATACAAATTTGCTTCAATCAATACTCTTTTAAGAAAACCTGTCAATTTGTATTTATATTGATTCCCTCAATCACATGCTCCGCCGAAAGTAATGAATAGTAAAAGATACTGTTCACTTTTATTATTCATCAATCAACTTTTGCTAAAGCTGTATCAACTGTTCAATCAATCAGCCGAAAGCAACCGACAGCCTGCTCAGTCTCCAATGCTGCCAACTGCCTTCACTCAATAAACCCAGTCACATGCTTCATAGTTAATTTTCTTTTCTATATATTGTAATCAAATGTATTCATTCAGCATTCTTCGTTTTAGAAAAACCTGAGAGTTCTGAGTGAGAATCAACACCTCGTGTACCCTGTTAAAGATCCTTGCATTTGCAACAATTGTAATTGTAAGTTACTTTCAGTATTTGTAATTAAATTAAATGGTTTAATTATAATTTTGTGTTCATATTATTCCAACTCTGTTTCTGTTATTGACACTCTTCTTCCTTTCTAATATTATTATTATTATTGATAAATTGCAGGACACGTGGCATTCTCCTACTCATTTGAAGGTTATGAGAAGTTATGAATCATTAAACATATGTGAAAGGATGATGGAGAATGTGGAGGATCATGAAGTATAATATGGAAGAACATGGAGGACAAAGTGGAGAACATGGAGCATGAATTGGAGGTTAAAGGAAGTTATGAAGACATGGAGGAATATGTGGCATTGTGGGAATGAAGATGGAAGAGTAGGTAGTTTTAGGTGGTTATTGGATAGGTATTGTTGGAAGTTTTTTCCTACAAATATTTGCCGATAAATAGCCATTCATGGCTACATTGTGAAAGACCCAGACTCAGATCCAGAAACTAGTTTATTTACTTCATATTTCTTTCCAGTTTTACATTTCCAGTTCTTCAATTAATGTACTGCACTTCATTTCTTAAGAATAGTCTCAAGTAGTCGCTACTGTAAACTTTTTTAAGGCTGGGTCTTTTTATTGTAAGTTCATATTTACTTAATGAAATTCAATTTCTGAATTGTTTTGTACTTATTATTTTTTATCAATTTCTCCTAAAACAAGTCACCAGTAAAAGTCCTCTTCATTGAGGTTGAAAGTGTCACGACCTGCTCCCCATATCCAAGGGTTAAGCATCATGACGGCCAGTAACTGAAGTTACCTCCAGCCAATTCTTAAACAAATTAATAAACGCGAACGGAAATAATATTTTAGTGAGAGTACCAAAATAATCATCAGAGTTTCTATTTTTATGACAAAATTTATGACCAAAAAGACCGATATTTACATATAAAAATACCATAAAAGTGTTGAGTGTGCCTATTCCGCAGTCCCATGTCTAAGACTCTTCAAAAGCTATTTCTGAATTGCATTGTTTCTTGAAAATTGGTAAATAACTATAACCACATGGCAGAGTGAGAAATATTATACTGAGAGCATAAGGCATAAAATTCACCATGGATAATTATTAGCTAAACAAATCTTGACTTTAAAATACAGAGTGTATAATACGGAGATCATTTGACATATAACACAGAAATCATATAAATAAAATAATCATAACCATGGTACAGAACGGAACAGAATAGATGTATGGACTTAAGAGGTAGCTCGTACGAACTCTAGAGGTGGCTCCCACCATAGTGTAGCACTTAGCACTTAGCTTCGTACAGCACTTTGCTCCACACTAAAAATCATGACCAAGGTACAGAACAGAACAGATGTATAGACTCAAGATGTGACTCGTATGAACTCTAGAGGTGGCTCCCACAATAGTGTAGCACTTAGCTCCGTCTAGCACTTTGCTTCACACCAGAAATCAGAGTGTTAATGGATCCATAACAAACAGAGGGTCACAAAGTGACTAATCAGAGGGTCACTGGTTATTTAAGTTCTCCAAGATATGGGACCTCTGTGGTAGTACTTATAAAATAGTTGCTCAAAATATATTTAATAAATAGTTATATCCATGGGTTTCTCTTTATTATACAAAATAAGGTTCATAAATAATATAATTGATAAAACACAAATAACGTAAAATAAATTATGATAACTTAAAACATACGTAAAATATATTATGGTGACTCAAGGTATAATATAATTCACCTTTATATTAATCCCAACTTTTATCTTTTGTTCACTGCGACCCACTAAGGCCAAGTTTGGCAAGTCCAGAATAAGTCAAAGAGCCAAAAAGTTACTCAAAAAGTTAAAAAGTTAACACTATTTACCAAAAGTCAACAATTACGGCTGCACAACTCCCAATTCTAGTTTTCTCTTACAAACTAATTTTTATAATTTTTTATTACATATTTTTCCATAAAAAGTCAAAAAGTTAACCCAAACATCTATATTTTATTCCTTAATTTTTTAGTTCAAAAAAATAAAAAGTTCACTTATTTAGAACACCCTAAATAATCCCTAAATACTCCAAACTAAACTCGAAGGGTTACAAAACTAACTAGAGAGCCGAGAGGGAGAATGAGAGTTGGAATTGGTGAGATGCATTAACTACTAGTCATCTATACATATAGGCAACAAAGCAAGAGAAGCAAGATACTAGCGGGGCACATTTTTCTTTTTGGTACAGAAAATATTACGTTTTAGTGTATTTTGATTTAGAAAAAATATAATAAAAATATTATAATACTCAGAAAATAATATCAAATAATAATATAAAGTTTAAATTATTTTTTTGAAATCATTTATTAAATAATACTAATATAAAATTTAAAGAACAACTTAAATTTTCGGGTTGTTACAGAAAGAATTTCAACATAATCGTTTGATAATTGATTGGCAATTAAAAATTTTATAAGAATTGATTGATTTTTGCTGGCACGCTTAAACTTACACTGTTAATCCTTGAGAGTCAAAAAAAAGCCAACAAAAACATGAGACAAAATAATTGTGTCCCTTTATTATTGAAAGGACACACCAAATGTACCGTAAGTTAAACCATTAGAGCATCCTGAATGAGTGTATTGAGCTCATTAGCAGCGTTATATGTTAATTGAGAAAAATTAGTTAACAAAACTTGGGGTATTTTTTCTCTCTTACGCGTATTTTCAGAGACTTGTTAGATTATGTGTTAACTGTGGAGATAGTAAAAAAAGCAAAATATATATATATATATATATATACATATATGAGACTGAGAAAAAAAAGAGACAGGCAATGACACTCGACGAGAGAGAACAAAATTAAATTCCACTTTTGTTACTTTTATCAGTTAACAAACATTTTAATACACAATTTTAGCCATTCCACGGTGCTTCGATAGTTTGTTGAAACTTGGACATCAATGACAGGCGACATGGCATAGTAAACTATGAAACAGCATAAAAAAAGTGATAGAATCAAGCCATAGCAAAGAAAACTCTCCATTTCAAGTAACTTCTTCCCACAAAGATCAATGACTTGTTTCTGCAAAATTAACATCTGGGTAAGACACAACTCCAATTGTTCATACATCCTACAACTATCTGGATTGCAACATTCCATATCCCCCAACAAGCTCACTGAAAACAACTAGCTGTCTAGACGATGCTTGTATTATTAACACATAAATCTGCACCCAAAAAAAAAAAAAAATGTCATTTTGTAGATTGCTTAGAAGAATCCTCCGGTTCTTGTTTTGATCCCGACATAGCTGCAGTTGCTGCCGCTGTCATGGCAGCTGCTGCTGCCCCCAACTTGACACCACTGGCAGCTTTCATGGCGCCAGCAATTTTTGCAAATGCAGCAACACCTCCTACAAGTAGAGCCCTCAGGGCTACTGTTGGTTTTATTGTCATATCTTACAGTACCTGCAATCCCGAGTACTACATCAGAAGAAAAATATGTATATATTCACGATGCTAATAATAACAAACAAATGTCGGGTCATGATAGATTGGTTAGAAAATCCAAGGAAATTAGCAATCTCTAGATTTATTTTCAAAGAGAAAAGGAAAAAGTTTGTGCTTAAGTAATGCCTCTATACCTAAGCTTAAAAGAGCAGCACAATCTTGCCTAGTAGCAATTTTATTCATCAATCTCCAAAGAGTGAATAAATTTATCATTATAATCAACCTCATCAGAACAGAGGTTATCAATTTTCTGAAATGTAAATTGGATAGTTCATGGGAAAAAAAAAAAGAAAAAAAAAAGGGAGGTTTCTCAATACTGATTAACCTTGTCAAAGATGTCACAGCATTGAATTAACCTTGACATGCTCAAACTTCGCAACCTCCCTGATGCCACCTTTTCTGTAACAGGTCATTTTATTTATAGTATATAAAATTAAGGCTCTATTTAGATCATGAATTTGAATAGGGATTTGAAAAATAAAAGGAAAAAGGTGCGTGAAATGTTAATGAAATATAAACTAATTTTTTTCATCATTTCCCTTTCCTTTCCAAATCCTTTATCCGAATCCATGACCCAAACATAACCTAAATGAACTCCTCTACAAGATGGTACATTATGCTTCTGTGCTCATCGTGATAAATTGTTCCAAAACCTTGGCCTTACAGCTTCATTAATCCATGTGTTTCTTTTTATTTTGATCTTGATTTTATCTTTGGTGAAGAAGGGGGAGAGAGTATTGAGGGGTGGATAGAACAGATAAGTACAAAAGTTTCCTGCTAGCCATCAATTGAACTACATCAGAACATCCACACTATGCCCAAAACCGTGGCCTCACAGCTTTGGCTTAGTTGCCTCCATCTTATTTCCACGTCTTCTAGAACTCTTTACCTCCACCACAAAGCCTTAAAAGATAAAACTTAACCAATTACTAAAAAAGTCAACAACACCAAATATGAAACATCAGTATTGACTCCATGACGATCCACCAAAGATATATTGATTAAATTGGCATAAGTTTCACCCAATGCAGAAAGCCAGGATGCGCGTTATCCACTAAACAAACAGTCCACCTTAACAATCACTTCAACATCTGAAAAAACGTAAGTGTGTTTGGTTTTAATTTTTTAAATTCAATTTTCTAGAAATTGAGTCTTTCGTTTTCTGTGTTTTTTTTTGTTTTTAGTGAATATTTTTAAAATTTTAAGTAATTTTTTTACTTTTTTAGATGCACTTTACTTAAATATATCAAAACAGTAAAACATTTGTGAAAAAATATTTTAAAAAATTAATAAATACACAAAAATATGAAAAACAACTGCATTTTCATTTTATTTTATTTTATTTGTATTTTTGGTATTTAGTGAATTTTTTTAAGATTTTTTTCACAAAAATTATACTTTTTAAGTGTATTTATGTTGGGTATGTCTAAAAATTAAAAAAAATTGCTTAAAATATATAAAAAAAAAATCAGTGAAAACAAAAAAAAATACAGAAAATAAAAAAGTAAAATTTTCTAAAAAGTGAATTCTGAAAATCAAAACCAAGCAGATGGTCGGAATCCAACTCTAACTTCTCTAGCAAAATTCATTGCAAAAAGTATAGCAATCAGATACCGGACAAAAGAAGCTATAACCACATAACATTTTTTGTTTCAAGAGTAACTTATTACTATGTTTAATGATCCAAAATTGTAATATACTCGTATCGTCAATCTCATTGCCAATAACAGTAAGTGTTAGGTTTAGAACTAGTCTAGACTTTTATTTCTTCACAAACAGATATTAAGTAGTTACCTTTCAATGGATCAGACAAAAAAGGGAGACAAGGGAATAACTTTATATTTGTGGAGGAAAAGATGAAAACTTAAAACAGTGTTTGGATTTTTGATTGATTTTTCAAGGGATTTTTCTTCACAAAACACTAACAAAGTCTTCAATGGTAGATTAAATATTGATTTTAAAGAATTTGTAAGAATAGTTGTAAATTATGTAAGACTTGTTTCTCAGAAGTTTCCAAAACATTTTTAAGAGTTTTTAAAGAGCTTCTTCTTGAAAATCATCTTGCAAAAGATTCCCTAAAAATTGCAGCTTTCAAAATGGGTTCCAACTTAGGTTTAACCAAACTAAATTATGAGACCCTAAAACATTGAAATTTTCCTGGGAACCAAACAGAGTCTACTTCAGATTTCATTACATTAGGAAGAAATAATCCCAAAACCCTAGATTAACTAAGCTATCTATCAGAATTCATCTAATTAGCAAGCAAATTCAAGAACAAAAAAAAAAAAAAAAACCCAAATTGCATTCATGTTAAACAGTAAAAAAACAAAAACAAAACCACAAATTAAACAAAATTGACTTAAATAATAATCAAAATGAGTAATAGAAATCGAACCCAAACCTCAAAAAGAGGAGCTCGATCACACTTCCTTCCGATCACAACAACCCTTATAGAGAGACAGAGAGAGAGAGAGCCCTGAACTAGAAATGAGGGCAGCAAGTGAGAAACAAGGAGGAGGAGTCAACACACAACGTCGTCGTTTCGATCCGTTTGGTTCACGATGTTATTTGATCCGATCTGGATATAAAGATGAATTTTGAAAGGAGGTTTCAAAGTTAATTTTTAATTTTTAACTCATTTCTTTTCAAACAAAAAAATTTAAAAAGTTAAAAAAATTTAAATGTCTTCTTTTAAAAGTCTTTTCAACACCCCAAAATAGTAGGGATTCTAAAAATTTTACCAAAATTTTTATTAGAAAAATACTTGAGATTTCCATTTTTTGTAACTCTCACAATCCTCAATTGATTTGGGACCACTCATTATATTTTTTTTTCCCTCTCCCTTTTTCCTCTCTCACAAATGTTGTGGGGGTCTAAAGCATTACTGTTTTTATTAAATGTCTGACATGAATATGGAACTCACATAAATCCACAAAGTACCTATGAATCCTACCTTCATGTAGAACATTTAAAAATAAAATTTTTAAAATTCCTAATATTTTTATTACTTCATCCCACCAATTTGAGACTACCAATAAAACCCTAAATAACGCGGAGATGGTCACGTGATAGACCACACCCCATTTCCTAAATTTGGCTTGGCCCATGTCATACCTCGCGGGCTCTCGCTAAAATTCGGGCTTGGCCGGGCTAGTCCACGATGCCCAGACCCAGCCCTAGGCCTAAGGGTATTCGGACCTTAGACGTATCGGTGAGCCGAGCCTCGGGCTAGCCCGATGAGCCTGGGCCTGGCCTGGTCTTGGGCTTGGGCTTGGGCGGCCTAAATTTTTTTTTTTTTTTAAATTTTTTCTACTAAAATTTTATTATTTTCTACTAAAAAAGACACAGGGGCTCGGACGGGCCAGGTCTTGAGTGGGCCTTAAGCGGGTCGATGGGTCGGGCCACAGTCCGGTTCGAGCTTCAAAATGATGACCCTGACCTAGGCCTAGGTGCTCGGGCTCGAGCCCGAGCCTAAACTGGCCGGGCCCATCCTGGGCCGCATGTCGCCTACAGTTCGCGGGCTATTTTTACACTCCTAGTGTTTCCCCATTTTTCTCTCTCTCTCTCTCTCTCGCTCTCGCTCTCTCTCTCAGAGGGTCCATTTATTTTCAGAGGTAGAATGGAGCGAATTCATAGTGAGAGGATTAAGTAAAATTGTGTTTGTTTTTATGATAGTTATTGGTGTAGGGGTTATTAAATTATTTTTATATAAAATAATAAAAAAATAAAAAAACATTAAACAGTAATGTTAAAAAATTGCCTAATATGTCAAAAATAAATAGAAAAAAAATAAAGCAAATAAAAGTATGAATCAAAACTTAACAAAAAATACAAAAAATTAAATATTAATGTTTAAAAAAAATGCCCAACATATAATAAATAAATAAATAAATAGTCCAGCAGATTATTTTTCTAAAACCAAATGCTGGAGGCCCATCCGAATCCCCTTTCCAAAGGGATTCATAATCTAGAAGGGATTACAAATCTCCTCTCTATCTCTAAAAAGAAACACAAAGATTGAGTCTCACCTCACTATCAATTCTAATCCCCTCTCTATAACCTCAAACAAACAGGATCAGAGTTTTTAATTGTCTCTCTCTTCTCTTCTTTTCTCTTGCTTCTTCCAACGGTAGACAAAAATCACCGATCTACTCTTTTCTCTCTCACCGACCCGATTCTCTCCAACGACTACCAGCGACACACGAAGGAACCGACTTCAACTAAGAGGTAAACTATATATGTTATTCATAACTAGAGTTTGAACAGTTTGGAGAATATTTTAAATAATTATTATCAAATATTTGTATACTATATAGTATTAATTTGTATAATTTTTTTTTTGTATATATAATAATATTAATTGATTTAAAAAAAAAATTGTTTAAAATATAAATTATTTTTGTGATTCTATAAATTAAATCACGTTATCTCTTTCATTAACAAATGATCCAATCAATTAACGATTTTTAATAATTTTATAAATATATTTTAATTAATAATTTATGTAATTTTATTGTTGTGTGAAAAATAATTAACAAATCGCCCATTTTATTAATAAATCATCAAGTCAATTAATAGTTTTTAATGATATTATAAACATATTTCAATTAATAATTTAAGTAATTTTGTTATTGTATAGGAGAATAATTATGAATTTCATTTTTTTTAATTAATTATGTTAAATAAAAAATTCTGACAATGGGATATTTATAATTTTCTAAATCACAAGAGTCAATTTGTATTTTAAGCAAACCACAACAAATGTATTTGTAATTTATCCTAATTAAAAATTCTAACAATGAGATATTTGTAATTTTTAAAATTATATGGAATAACCTGTATTTTAAACAAATTTTAGAGGGTTGTATTTGTATTTTACCTTAATATTTTACTAGCATATTACCCATTCTATATATAGATATAAACAAATAATCAAAAATTAATTTTTAAAATTAAATAATAATATAAAATTTATCTAAAATATATACTAGTAAAAATGATTTATTATCAATAAACTTTTATTTATTTTTATGAGAGTTACATATAAATGACTTGTATTTTTTTTCACATGACGTGACAATCACTTAATCATTAAAATTTGTCTTGTATCATTTGACCTATTTATTTTATAAATTGGTAAATAAATATCTATAAGTATTTTTTATAATAAAAATAAAAAAATATGAACATATTTTATGCATATCTACTAACTTATTTAAACTTAGGTAGAAAAATTATATATTTATGTTAACACTATAAAATAAATAGTTACATATATTCATATATTAAAAAATTATCTAAGATAAAGTTGCTCTAAATTATATGTCATATTTTAGCTTTAATCTTACACTTAATTTAAAAAATTAACAGTTAATTAGTAAAAACATTTGATAATAATAAATTTAAATATTATGTATAAATTATTTCATAGTTTATCGATTCATGGTCAATATGAGCTAATTTGGGAATTCTAATACTGAATTAAATATTAAAAATGAGTCTGAAAAATTTAGTTTGGGTTGATTTTTTGCCAATATTTAAAAGTTTTAACACTCTTTTGTCTATCTTCACATCGAAGCCGACAATCATTTGTTAGTTAGCATAGAAGTTGAAGGAAGCATATCTTTCTCTCTCTCTCTAAAAACCTCCACCCTCGGGCCTCACTTTTGGCCGGCCGGCCGTCGCCTTTAGCTATGGTGGTCAGCTAGTCCAACTCCCTCTTGTGTTTGTGTGTTGGTTTTTCCTTATAATAACTTGATTCCCACAATGTTTTCCCACTTAGTTGTGTTTGTGCATTACTGATCTTAAACTTTTTGGTGTTTGTTGCCCATTTTTGGATGAGTCTTTGGGGTTGTATGTTTTGTTTCAACAGGGGTTGCTTGGAATAGGGGTCAAAACAGAGTAGAAGGAGGTCGGTTTTAGACCGGAATAGAGGATGTTCAAATCTGATTAGGATTTTCATTCGAGCGCTCCTTTGCAAGTGGGAGTTTGAGGAATGAACTCTGGTTCGGATCTATGGAGATGCTTCGGTGCTTTGCTTGGGGGGAAACATGGGTTTTGAAGTCGATCCAGATCTAAGATTTCATTCGAGCATTCCTTTTCGAGTGGGAGTTTGAGAGGTGAACTTCATTCAGATGTATGGAGATGCCTTGGTAGTTGTTCGATGTTTTGGGTTGTCAACTTTGGAGCTTCTGCAGTGGGTGTGTTCGGAGTTTGGATCGGAAAAGATGTGTCCGACCATGGAACTGGAGATGGCAATTGGTCTTGTTCGGCTGTGGCAATGGGTCTTGTTCAGCTATGGCAGTGTGTTTTGATCGTCCTCGGGTGTGTTCGGTTGCTGTGAGTGTTCGGAGTTTTGAATCGGAAAAGAAGTGTTCCGACCGTGGAAGTAGAGATGGGTGTTTAACATTGTGGGCATTGGATGTGTTTCGACGTTAGTGTCTCGGTCAAGGGAGTTTTTTCCAGCCATGGAGCTGTTGGCTATGGAGTTTTCCGGCTATGGAACGGTCTCGGTCGGATCAGCAAAACGTGCAGAATGCTTTTGATGCTATGGTAGAGTGTTGTCAGGCGTGGGTCTTGGCTTTGGTGGGCTGTTGAAAAGATTTTAGTTTGGGTGGTGTGGGCATTGGGAGTGCAGCAGCATGGGTGTTGGGTGTTGTAAAAGAAATTTTTAATTTGTTGAAAAGAGGTTTGCAGGAGCAGCTTGAGTGTGTTGGTGTTGGTTTTTGGTTTTGGGTTGTGTGGGTTGATTTTGTGGGGATTCATGTATTTTATTTTCTAATTAAGTCCTTCTTAACTTTTTTTTTGTTTAAAAAAAATCGTGAGGCCAAGAGGTTGGTTGTATGGTTGCGAGTAGCAGTAGTAGGAGTAATCTGTACTTTCCGAATCTCTCTCAATATATGTCATCTTCCTGTACCTTTAATTTCATGTTGTTAATGAATTTTTCTTTGCTGATCAAAAAAAAAAAAAAGAATGCAAAATGAGGCCAAAAAATTAAATGAAATTGTAGGGAGGATACTTTTTCATGTAAAAAGGAAGTAAAGAAAAATATGTTTTAAGAGATTTTCTTAATTTATATAAAAGTAATGAGACATGTTTCCTATGTCTATGTAGGTTTTTAGAAAGGAATTTTGAATATCCTATATGTTTATAAAGGTTCATTAAGTAAGTAGGTTTTTTATTTTAGGAAAAAATTTCTTAAATCATAGTTCTTGACTAAACTTTTAAATTTTAAATTTTAAACCCCTAAATCATTTGTGTATATTGATAAATGTTCATAAAATTTTAAATTTTATTTTATAGTAACCAATGGATGTTTTTCTTTTTCAAAAAAATTTAGAAGTCAACAAATTTAGTTTGAGCCTTTAGAATTCTCACAATTGAGTTGAGAGCTTCAGTCCTAAAGAAACTCTACTAACGTTTAGTGTTTATGAAAATAATGAGATTTGATATATACATGGAGCAGTAATGGCCATGGCGAAAAAAAAAAAAAAAAAAAACATGTTTTGAAATTTTAATTATATAAATCATTTTATACTTTATGGTGAAAAATATAAAATATTTTAATAGAAAATATTTTACCACTTGAGTGTGATTTTTT